ATGGGAACTCCTTGAGCCCTTTGCCTTTGTCAGCCGTGGTAAAATGCATAAAAAAAAGAAGTGTTGTTTGCCACCCAACATTAGATTGTGTTGAACTCACTAGATGAGAATCAGAAACCTGACCACTGACTGCAAAATACGTGTGTATATAATATATATACTGCCCCACACTTTCTTTTAGCCATCTCCGTCATTGATGGTAGGAGGAGACTGGATGGCAGCCTGAGCATCAGTGGTCCCACAGACCCTCTCTTTCCTTGGCCATTTGTGGACAGGTTTGGGGATCTCCCCATCGTCCTCGTGGGCTGTGCCCCATCACCTCTCTGTGATAAAGCAGGGGCCTAGAGATTGTTGACCTGCCTGTTGGCCGCAGCCCAGGAGATGGATGCTGCTCCACAATGCCTTGAGTAGGATCAGAGGGCCCAGGCTGGGGACTTGGGACACACCAAGGTCCACCCTGCGGCTGCCTTGGGGTGGGTAAGGTGGTCACAGCTCTCTGGAGGCAGGAGGAGTGCTCAGGAGGCCCCGTGGGGATGCTGGAATGTCATTCCACTGGGATCAAAGCCCCACCACATTGCGTTGAGCTGAGGGAAGGCAGAAATGGGGAATGGGTGGCTGGTCCTCTGCTCTGGAGGAGAGAGCAGTCCTCCTCGGGACAGCTGGATCCCCTGGGGGTCTCGGCATGGCAGTTCCCCACATGTGGTGCAATAGCTGCTGCCTCTAGTAAGGTCTGCTGCCGCGGTGCTAGCAGCCGTGTGGGGGCTGTTTCTGTGCCAGATGCTCTGGAAACACGGTCTGTTCCCCGTGCAAGCGCCGCACGGGTCCTAATGAGCCTTCCTGGCTCCGGGAGGGAGTGGAGGAGGCTCCCGGCAGGATGGAGAGGCATGAGGAGGCAATTAAGGCAGCCCCCTGTTGCCAGGGCAGCTCAGGTAATGGGGGCTTCAGAAGTGTCACCTCCCGGGGACAAAATATGGGCTGGCTTGACCTGATTTGATGGGACCAGGGGGTCAACACAGCACATGGAGACATGACCTGTGAGCCCAAAGCTGAGGCCCTGCAGAGGTGCCAGGGAGCACAGGAGCTCCCTGAAGCTGACCCTGAGGCGGGGGTCCCAGGGCTTGCTTCTCGTGCCCCCAGAGAGGCAGAGCCTGCATGGCTGCTGGTGCCTTCTGGAAAGGGGACTGGAGGGGCTCAGGAACTGCAGCGTTTTCTCTTTCAAACCTGAAAATTAATAGCCATGAGGCCTGAAGGTTTCCATGTTTGACCTGGTCTTTGCTGCAGGACAAAGCCCTTTGGGGCAGAGTGAGGTTTGAGTCTGGCTAAGCCCTCGGCCCACACAAAGCCCTGCACCACTGGCTGTTGCTTTCTTCCCCTCTGTTTCTTTCTTCCCCTCAAAGCATATTAACCCCTTGGTGGGGAGATAAAGGAGAGTGTGCAGGTGGCACCCATCACATGTGCCTGTCCTCTCCACTGTCTCCTTTTGGGCCAGCCCCTGCTAAACCATCAGAGCCCGATGGTTCCCCTGTCTTTCCCCTGCCCACCTCTTGGGCTTCCTCTGTTTCTTTCCTCCTCATCTTAGGTACACAACACCGCATCACAGCTGAGCACACCTACCCCAACCACAAGCCCTTCTCTGTGCTGTTGTTAAGTTTTTCCTTCTTTAACCCCTCTTAAGGGTGACTTTGTTGTTCCTTGTCTCTTCTCCGTGCAATGCATTGTTTTCCAACCAGCTGCCCTTAGAGACATGCAGGCTTTTCCCGAGTGCTCCTGGTTAATTTAGAAGCAAGCAATATGTGAAAGTAATTGTAATTACTCCTTCCAGCCAACAACGCCATTGATTTGTTGTCTCCTCCACCTTTTAAGCCCTGTCACAGGTTTGCAGCTCTTGCAAGACTCAACTTACCAAAAATAAGTGGTCCCTTCTGCTCTCCTCTTCCCCAGACGGATGAGAAGCAGCCGCTGCTTCCTGCAGAGAGGCAGGGCAGGATGGAAATCAAATATTTATTGCTATTCTTGATTTTCTGTCTCCCAACCAGTTTCTAATCTCACTGTCATGTCTTTGGTTCTTGAAGAGCCTTATACAGAGGTATTGGCCATAAGCTTTTAAAATGTCTGGATAAATTATATCAGGTTTTCCTGCATTCTTCTCCCCACCAGTCTGTCCAATGGGCTGTGAACCTCTGGGAGCAGAGGAGGTCACCCTGCAGAAACTGTGCTGGTGGGTTTCCCTCTTTCTCCTGTTCCCAGAAGTGACAGATCCACACATCCCAGGGACACGGCTGAGCTTGGGATCATGCCAGCATCATCTGTCGGGGAGGCGATGGGCAGCACCGGAGTCCCTGTCCAAGCATCTATTGGTGTCCCCTTTGTTCCTGCTTTTCTGAGAGGAGTTTACACAGATTTTGGCGTGGGCTGGTCTTCCGGGCTCCAGAGGAGACTTGGCCACGCCTGTGGCCAAGCTGTTTCCATCCTTGTTCATCTTCCCGCATGTTTTCTGCCTTTGCCAGCAGCCCCAAAGGCCCCTTTGCAAGGCTCCTGCAGTTGTAATAGGAGAGTCTCTTGGATGAGTTCCTCTCCCATTTCACTTCCTCCTAAGTTTGTGACATCAGCAATGGTTTTAGACATTTCCTCCTCAAAAAAAAGTGCCGTGCTTTCTAATCATGCTGCTGTTTGGGTACATGAGCAGAGGTCACCTGTAAGTGATGTGAGGGCAAGCCTCCAGCACAGCAAAGCCCTTGAGCTTATGCTCCAGCTGAAGTACACACTCAGAGTTATTATTTTCTTAAAAAGAAAACTACTCAGCTTTGAGCAGATGCGCTGAAGGGCTGAGGGTGGGAGCCCTGTATTTTGTTCCATGGCATTAAATACCCTCCAGAATCAGAAGTACGAGCTGGGGTGACAGTTCTGGCTCTGCGAGGAGACCCCACCAGCATGCCAGCAGAGAAACTGAGTCCTCTGGCTTTATGCTTTGTTTTTCCTCAAATATTGGTGAGGTGGTGCCTTTCCTAGGAGGGACAGGACCCACTGAGGGGCAAAGCCATTGTGCAGACCTGACCACAGACTGCTCTAGAATAGGCAGCTCCAATAGCTGTGCCAAGGGTGAACCAGCCTGTGTCTAGCTAGGTCAGGAACTCATTACTAGCACTTAACTAGATTTATACCTGATGTGAGCTCCTCACCATCATGGTCTCACTTGGAAGCCATGATTCACCACTTATTTCTGCTTCCTTGTTGTCAGGATGGGGGATTACTTCTGCCTGGAGAGGTACTTCACTTGTACCCCATCCTGCTCCACCATGGGGTAGAGAGGTGCCCAGACTGCAACATCACGCCTCCTCCCGAAGGGCAATGATACCCAGACCCTTGTGATGATATTTCTGTAATACCAGCTGCACAGATGTGGGCCCAGCCGTCTCCTTCCAGGGATGCCACCCTGAGCATCCTGGGGAAGGACACCTGGCCTTGGGCTGGCCAGTCCCTTCTGTCCCCACAGCGACCTCGCGCTCCGCAGGAGGCTTGAACAGAAAACATCACATTTATTGTCCACGATCAGCTTTACAAAAGAAATGTTCCAAGATGGGCACGCATCAGGGGCCCCTTTCACAAGCGTGCATTAGAGAAAGCAAGCGAGCAAGGAAAAGGGGGCAGCTCAGCGGGGTGCACGAAGGTCACAGTGTTTCCCACGTGGCACGAGTGAGGGCTGCGCCGTGTCCCTCCCAGCAGGCTGACCCACCCCACTACTGATGGGGACCCTGCTGGGCGGCGATGCTGGGTAGCACAGCTGTCCCCTCTGCCCACTTCGCCTCCCCCAGGCGCAAGGGGCAGCCGTTGCCGAAAGCACAAAGTGGGATGTGGGGTAGGGGGGAGCACTGGAAGCTGGACACTGCATTGAGCAACCATGAGACCCCTGAAAAAACCCCTCCCAACCCTATCCCCAGACACACACACATACACACACTCATGTATCGAGATGTTGGTGACCACGTGGTGTGGAAACAGCATATTCTCAGGCACTCCACAAGGAAAATACCAGCCCGCCCCATTGTCGCCTCCAGTTCCAAGGCTGGCCCCATCCTTGGCCAGGAGCAGCTCAAAGGAGGAGACCCAGGTGGAGGCAAGGGCAGCAACCCAATCCAGCACCCAAGAGGCAGGGGGACATATGGCAGGACTCCTTCAGCCATCACCATCCTCTTTTTTGTTGTTTTTTTTGTTTGTTTGTTTGTTTGTTTTGCTTTTGCTCCCTTTGACAGCAGCGCTGTACTCCTGCCTTGACCAGGGCCGGGGAAGATATTTTGTCCCTTTCTTCCCTTGGTGGCTGACTAATCCCCCCCAACTTGCAGGGGAACCCAACCTCCTTCCCTCTGCCTCAAAAGCCTGAGTCCCCTTGAGGCCCTACCCGAACAGGCAGTAGAGGCAGGGGAAGGGGCACAGGGGGAAGAACTGCCCCGTTGACCCTCCACCATCATCCCTCAGCCTCCTAGGGCCATGCTTGAAAAACCATGGTGGCAGAAGGACCAGAGGGGAAGATGCTCCGATCTGAGCCTTTGGGCTCCCTGGGGCTCACAAAACCAGACAGTAGGGCACTAGCAATAAATAAGGAAAGGGGATATGCTTGGGGCGGTGCCCACACGCTGACATTCCCCTGAGGCTGGACCACGGTCAGGCCAGATTGAGGTCTCTTTCCCGCTCCCTGTTGGGGCTGACAAGGCAGGGACCCTCACCATACCAGGTACATACCCTTGCCTGTGGGTATGGTGAGGTCCTGCCAAAACAGAAGCATGGAAAAGTGAGACCTGTTGACAGGGAGTGGGACAAGCCACACCACTGGTGTGGGGGCAAGAGGGAGGCTGCCCCAGGCTCCCCTCCCCTCCTAGGATGCCAGCACAGGAGGCTCGAGCATCACCCTGGCGAGGCTCAGTGGCCTGGGAGGGGAAAAAGGGGCTCTCTGCCTCAGGGGTGCCACTGGGCTTCTTGGTGCTGGGGAGGGGGTGAGGGGCTGCTCATGCCTTTCTCCCTTCCTCACAGGCGGTGAACGCCCCCTTGCTGGCACCCCCAAAGACCTCCACCGCCTGGTCGTCCCACTGGATCACGTTGCCTTGGAGGTGGGAGGTGCAGTTGGCTAAGGCCAGGATCTCCGCCGGTGCCAGCATGTGGTCCCACACGCCGAACTGCGCCAGCTCTCCCACAAAGGCCTGCGTGGCATCGAAGCGGCCGCCCAGTGTGTCCTGGGAAAGAGCGGGAGAGGTGATGGGACAGGGATGGGGACAGGAGAATGAACACCCATCCAGTAGGCAAACAGGGCAGGGGGGAGAGGGAGAAGTCTGGGGAGAAGCAGAGCAAGATGCCCAATGGTAAGGGGATGGACAAGTGAAGGACAAGATGCAAGAAGACAAGGCAGGGAGCGAATCGGGGACAGAGGGATGGGGAAAGGGAAGAGGAGAAGACAAGCACACATGGCCCACATGCAGAGGTTGGATGAGCAGGCAGGATAGCCCCTTGCCCAAGCTTCCAATGCACCGTGCTGAGTGCTCCTGCTCACACCACCCCACAGCCTCGCCCCATTTTGGGGTTGCTCCCTGCCTGGCTTCTTGCTGGAACAATGCGAACTGGCAGCTCTCGGTGTCAGGCGGGCACGTACCTGTTCCTGGCCCAGGATGATGATGCCTTGGGGCTTGATGGAGTGCCAGGAAGCCAGGTTCTCACCAGCGCCCCGCTGCTCACCGTCCTGGTAAGCTGACCATTTTCCATCTCGGGTGGTCCATGCCACACAGACGTGGTGCCAGGCCTTGTCCTTCAGGCTCAGTGGCAGCTGGGCGACCTTCACGTGAAGAGCAAGAGCTCAGTGGGCCTGCTGGATGACACCGGCATCCCCCCAGCCCCTCACAGAGCAAGCAGTGCACCCCCGTGGTGGTGGCACCCCAGATTCTACAGACATCCCAATGCACTGCTTCTGTCTCTCAAAACCCTCTCCACACCCTGCTCACTCTGCTGCCTCTCCATTCCACCCTGGGCCCCTACCTCCCAGCTCCCCAACACCAGTACCCCCAGGAACATAATTTCCCAGGGAGGCTGAAGCAGGGAAGATGAGGGCAGGCACTTCCCTCCATCCTCCCTGCAGCTGGGCTGACCTTGTCATTGATGAGCAGCTCCAGGGGGTTGGTGCCCCACTCCAGCAGCACAATCTCATTAGCTTGGCTTGGAACAGAATAGGAGAAAGGGGTGCCGAGCCCTGCCAGGGCCTTGGACTTCAGCCACATGCAGATGGTGAAGGCATACAGCTCTGGCAGGCTCTTCTTCATGCGGGCATACATGTAGTTGTTCTGCACCGGGATGGTCACCTTGAAGGCATCAGGAGGGTTGTAACCTGGAGGTCCTGTGTGCCAAGGATGGGGATGAGAGAGAAGCATCAGCACCCATCATTGGGATGAGGGTGGCCTGTCCTGGGGCTCTCCTGTAAATGCATCTTGGACTAAGGACTTCCCTGCACTACCTCCATCTCTGTTGGGCAGGACTCACCATGCTCCAGCTCTGTCACCCGGTTCTGGAGGGAGTTCAGCTCCTTCTCTATGTTGTGCTGCTGCTGGCTGTGGTCAGTGCTGGCAGCCTGGCGCTCCTTCTGCAGGGTCAGGATCTTTGAGAGGAGCTGCTCCTCCAGCTGCTCCATCTTGGTGTGGAGGGCGTCGCGGGCGAGGGCCGGGGCAGTAGGCATAGAGTTTTTTTTTTGCACTCGGCAACAGCCACAGCAGGAGGGGAAGGAGGGAGAAAAAGAAAAGTCAGTGTGGTGTCACTGTAAGAGGTTAAATAAGGACATGCCCAACCCACACCATCACGGGGAATGCTGAGACCACAACCCCATGTCCGCAGTGGGGTCTTCTCCAAGAGCATCCAGGTGAGTTTGTACCTTCCCTCTCAGAGCCTCCATTGAGTTTGTTACTGTGAAACGAAGCTTGGCTGCTCTTAATGACTTTCTGCCACTCCAGAGACAGAGCGAGGATGGGATGCACGGGCACTCAGGTCATCCCTTGGCTCTGTTCCTGCCGGCAGCCTCCCACAAGGAGGGGACAACACGGGAAGGAGCTTAGATCTCCCCTGAGGCTGCTTTGCCACCAGCAGCGTGTTAACATCACGTATCAGGGCTGTAATCCTCTTAGCCCAGTTCAGCTGGTGTGTGGGGGTGCCTGCACGTGTGCCAGGTCAGGCAGGTAGCTCTCTCCACAAGTGTAAGCCAGCCTCTCCCAGGCCGTCAGAATGCCACAGAGAAGTGGGGCCAGTGGGTTGTCCAGTGCTCAAAACATGACCCATGACTTGAAGACATCAAGCATATCTTGTCCCATCAGGGTTAAAACCCAGACCAAAATTCTTCCCTTGGCTGAGCCAAAACCTTGCACTTGGGTGAGGATGCTCCCACTACTGCACCCTGCAGAGATCCCACCTTGCTGGGAGACCCCATCCTGGCTGGAACAAAACCAGGCTGGAAGGGAGAAGGTGGCTCTTTACCACGCTCCTGGGGTTTCTCCATAAACAGCAGTCCTCTTCCTTCCCCGTGTCCTTGGGGCCCTAGGCTCTCTGCCCTGGTCTTGAAAAGATGGTCACCACCTTTGCCATGCTGCCAGACCTTCCTGAAGGTATGAGCATGGCTGCCAGCACCAAGAGAGGTCTGCATGGCCGCTTCAGCCCTGGACATATGCACAGCTTGTGCTGGTGGAACACGGCGTGATGCCATCCCTACTGATCTGGATCGAGGCTTCCCCAGCCTCAGAGCTGGCCTGGAGGAGGTCACCATACTCATCTATAGTTGTGGCTTCCAGCTTTTTCTTCTTCCCCATATCCCACTTTTCCAGGATGGACAGGACCTGACGATCATGCACACAAAGATGAAGCGGGAGATGCCTGCCGACGTCACCCCTGGTTTTTGCTATACACCATGGACAACAGGAGTGAAGGCCGGAGGAAAGCCAGGTTTGGCTGGGCAGGATGCAACCTCGGCGGATGGGAACAGCAGGGAGAAAGCAGCAGGGAGAGGCAGGAGGAGTGAGAAGATGGTGTTGGTGTGAGCACAAGTGGCCCTACACCTGGCGGGAACACACTCAAAGTGCAAATGAGAGGTGGGGCTGCGATGCCTTGGGGTCTGGAAAAACCTCCGGCAGGATCTGCCAGGTCAAACTCACAGGTTTTGCAAGGAAAACCAACATGGAGAACCAAAACCAAGGAAGGAAAGAGGTTGTGCAGGGGGCATCTGCCAGCCCTGACCAAATGCCAGCTCTTGCTGCCAGCTTGCTCTGACAGTGACAGGGATGCTCTCACAGAGAGCGAAGCCTTTCCAGGAAGGGAAAAGGCATCCTGGCTTTGGCCTCCACAAAACAAGGAGGGGTTAGCTGATGGAGAGGGGGCTTTCGCTCTTTTTTTGGGAGGGGAGGGCAGTCTTGAGGACCCACTCATTTAGCTGGCTGAAAAGCAGGGGAGGGATGGCAGGAGGGAAGGAAAGGTGAATGGAAAGGTTAATTCCCATCCTCTTGGCAGGGATAATTCCCACCCAGGGCTGCCCACGCTCCTATCCAAGCAGAGCCGGCTGTGTTGGCGGGGGCAGTGCAGGTGGGAGGGGGGTCGCCTTCGCCTCTTTGTCTGCATCCCGCGGGCTCCAAGAGCTTTTCTCATCCCTTCAGGCTGCCCGGCTGCAGCGGAGGCTGGCACGCTCCTGTCTGCCGCACGCTTTGATTGCTCGAGCTGCGGGTTTGGAGCCTACGTTCCTGCTTGCATGCATGGCTCCATCTGTTAATGACGAAAAAAGAAAAAGCTGGGAGCTTTTGTCACTCTCGCTAGCCCCCAATAGCCTGCCCTACATTATTCAGTAGTGACTGAGTGCTTTTTTTTCCTCCCTTTTCCACCTGCTTTTTTTCCTGCTGCTATTTTCTTCCCTCTGTAACTTTTCTCCCTATGGCTTTTTCACTCCTCTGGCTTCAGGGCACCTCCTCCTGATGCTCCCCTCTGTGCACAGTCATGCTGTCTCTCCCCTTTTGCTCAATTCCTTCCCCTTTCCTAATTTTTCCCCCCTACATCCCTCTCTTCATCTCTCCCCAGCCCCTCCAGCCAGAACCCTGGCTGAACCACTGCTGACCCTGTGTTCCTCCTGGCAAGGAGTGCAGCTGGTACCTTCATCTGGCAGACTTTGGAGGCCACACCTTCACCCCAGGAGCATCCCAGCAGACACCATTCCCACCTCTGCAGCAAGACCATGGCTGGACAGGAGACCAGACCTCCTCATCCCACTCCCCAAAGCCAGGTGATCCCTCCGGTGGCCATCCTCCACATCTCCGAGCTGCTGCTCAAGCATCTTTCTCCCGAATCAAATTATTTGCAAAATTATTAATGCTAGCTGTGCAGCTGTTAGCTACCAATGACCTTTGGGGAGGGGACGGGGGGGGAAGCGCCTTCTCCCTGGCTGTTCTACAGACACCCGGCTTCCCATCTGCTGCCGCACAGGCAGCAGGGGAGTGGGCAGCGTGTGCGGGGGAGGCTCGCTCGACGGTTTTTGGCCATTGGAGCCAGCAAAAAAGATTGAAAGATGCCAGGTAATATTAATCACATTAAATGTCAGCGGCTGGTGGGGGGTGGGGGGCCCAGGGTGGCCACGTCGGCATGTGCTCACTCAGGCTGTAGCTTTCGGTCAGCAAATGCACTTTGCTTTATGTAAGGAGATCAGAGCCTCATTTACTAATGCACCAGCAAATC